TTTAAAAGAGGATCTACTAATATATATCATTTCTTCGATCAGAAGCGGAGAATGCTCACTTTTTTAAAGTGGAAAACAGTGACGTGGCGTAATTTGCGATGTATCGATTGATCTTTCATTTAAACCTATAGAAAAGTATCGATGAACAGAGTGTTCGCAGCGAACACCTTAGTAATCGATTCTTTACCATAGGTCTAGATGGCATAACAATCGATACATCGCAATTCACGCCACGCCACTGTTGGAAAAGTAGTTATGTACACATTTGCAGTCTCGTTTGTTTTGAAATCACATTTTCCTTCATGTAATTCAAATAATTAATTCCTTAAATCGTGCTTTCAACTTGAGCTTGATGCTTTTTGGTAAAGACTTTAAAGAGAAAGGAAGGAGAGAGGAATCCCTTTCACCACTGTGAACTCACAAAAATATATAGTTGCTTCAACGAATTAGCCTTACACATTCAGTACACTTGAGAAAGTACAAAGGGCGAATCAGATAGATTTCATCGGTTAGGGTTGTAAGTTACAAACTGATTTTGAGGCAACTTTCTAAAATATTTCTCGTTATTTTAAAGTTTTACAGTTAGTAGTTTACAGATACTGTGGTTTTACAGTTTACGAGTTGAAAGTTGGCTGAGCTCAAATCGATTGTAAAGTGATGAAAGGCTCCAACGTTTTTTATGACATTAGGAGAGTGCCTCATAATGTCAGATGAGGTTAAGCAACTTAATTTTCATTTTAAAATTTGATAAAATTGGCTACTTCAATTTTTTTTTGAAAATTTGCTGCTCTACTCCATAAAATTTTGACCGCAACAGTTCGTAAAAGCGCAAAATTGATCGTCTCCAAGGAGATAGGGAGATGGAGAAAATCCTAGGTGAGACTGCACCACCACGACAAAGCAAAGGTGAAGTATCGATAAGGGATGTTTTTGCCACCCTAGCTGAATTTTCTTCACCCAACGATTGTTTGCTCATTGAAGGTCTATATTTTGGAGATTGCAACATAAATTGGTCATTTTCGGTCTCTTTTTGGGTCTGATACTGGCCTAAGCATGGGTTTGAGGGCCGAATAAGGCGAAAGAGGCGGTCGAATGCCAAAAAATCCGCCTCTTTTGTCCAAATCGACCTTCAGGCCGTTATTTGAACCAGTGGCACACCCAAAAACAGACCATAAATGACCAAATCATGATGCACTTCATCGACCTTCGATGAGCAAATACTCCTTGAGTTGAAGAATGAAGGGTGGGTCCAAAAACGACCCTTTTCGATACCCATCCTTCAGATTTTGTGAGTCAGATTGAGACAAACGAGAGAAAAAAATGAGATTGAGTTTGGATGAGGAAGTGTTTTTGGTGACAAACTTTTGAATCAGAAACCTTAAACGTGAGTTGCCACCACATAAGCTGCAGCAGCAAACAGGTAGGAAGAGAAGAAGTGAACACATGTTACAGTTGAAAAGGCTTGATGCCAACAAAACGCAGGACTGTTTAAAATGATCTTCCGTCAAACATTCAATAGGTCCTAAATAAAACTATCGATATTACAAAAGAGTAAAAAAGAAAACAAGACATTTACACACGAGAGTTAGGCACTTGGTTGACGCAACCGGGTAGGGCTGCGTTTTAACATTATAGGTAACGTAGGATTTTTTTCCTAATACAAAACAAATTAACATGGTAAAGAAAAGAAAAGGATATATTAAGAGATACGATGCATTAAGTTAAGTTAGGCAGGCTAATCGAGGGGTTCTATCTATGGTCAATATTAGGAAAACTCATTTTAATTTTCAAAACTGAGGGAAGCATTGGAGTTTGATTTTGGACTTTCAGTTCCATATACTTCAGAAAAAAAGGGATGGTGGAAATGGACCACTAGACAAGGTACGAATTTCAGCATTCTAATACAGGTTTCTTAGCCAAAATTTCACGTAGAACACGATGCGCACAACAAAAATTACCGAAATCAACTCCTTACGAAGATATTCAATAATTCTTGATGCGTGAATACAAACCACCCGCTCATGAAAACTCAATGCTCTACGTGATTCACATCGCGCGCTAAACGTTTATCATGACAGTCTCTGCGATATAAAAATCTGGCAACCTCAATCTTGACGCTTTGGCTCAGCTATAGCAAATTGCTTTTAGTTTGAACAACACATGGTGGGAAATGAACATTGCTCGATTGAGAAGATTGCTGAAACCGTTGTAGTGCGCGATTTGGCTCACGTAGAGCTTTGAGTTTCTTGTGAGCGGGTAGTTCAAAATCCGCGTAACCAATGTGAAATAAAAAGGTTAATATCTTCGTTAGGAGTCGGTTTCAGTCATTTCCGTTGCGCGAATCGTGTTCTGCGTGAAATTTTGGTTAAGTTACATGTGTCAGAATCCTTTAATTCGTACCTTGTCTAGTGGTCCATTGAGAAGAAAGGACGTATGGACGTGTATTTCATTATAGAATGCTACTAATTCTCTACGTAGGTCTTGATGTGCGTTTATTTTTTTAATTATTACATGGAAATTTATAGAATCCTGGCAAAAAAGGAAAGCCGCGCGTTATTGCGCAAGTGACCGCAGACCGGCAGCTCCACCAAAAAGACCGACATGTTTTCTTTAAGTTTTAAAATTTCCTGACCCCTCGAGGTTTTTGGAGGAAAATTTCCAAACTTTTCCCTTGCCTTTATGTTAAATTTACTTCTTTTTCAAGGTCTCTCTGATTCCAAAATATTTTCACCTCGTGAAAACGCCGACGGAAGGGATAACCAATTTGTTATTACGCTGTTCTCATCTCATCCACAGGTGATCGACACAGCAAATTCATTACCAGAAAAAGATTTTGCATAAAGTTTGGGTCATCCACCGAAAAAACAGTGAAGTTGATTTAACATTCTAGATGTAGAAAAAGTGTGCGAGATCTTGAAAAATGCTAAATTACCCGCCACAGCAGTTAGTTTTACATATTGGCATTGCTAAAGTGACTGCCGTAGCGGGTACTTCAGCATTTAATAGGTTCTCGCATACTATTTTCACATCCAGAATGTTAAATTAACTTCATTTTTTTTTCGGTGTCAATTTGTCAACTTTTGAAATTTCCAATGAAGTCTGCATTGCGTCCTCGAATAAATGAAATTAAAAGACCATGACCAGAAGTAGTAGAGGTCAAATTGAGGGGAATGGAGGAAAAACAGGAATGAGTTATTGCGAATAAAATTATTAATATGTTATTTTTAAAAGTAAGAATCTTGAAAGTCATTATTTTGAGTGAAACCGAGGCTTTCATAAATGATATCCACCTTACCCTCACACACTTCATGAGACGGTCTCAAAACTTAGTATTATTTGATTGGATAGATTGATTTCAGCAAATGTACTATCTCTATGATTGATCAAAGGTAACTGAAAGAGTTCAACTAAAGTATGAATTCGGAGTCAAAAATCTGTAGCTGCAGGAACATTGAGCTTCCCATAAATTACAATTTCATTAAATTAAATTCCAATGCACAAAGATGAACACCATGGGTTCTTTACTTCTGTACAGAGAGATTATTTCAAAGTCACCCACCATAAGTTGTATAAGAACTAAAAAGCATCACACTTGGATCAAAAATTATGATCCGACAATGTTTTATTTTTAATTCCTCTTTAGTCCTTTTCTTTTCTCTAGATCAAATTAATGCAGAACAAACATCTATATTTTATGTAATAATAATCTCCTCATTAAAGTTTTTAGTCTCAGCTCGTTTGGTATGCAGAGTTTTATCAAAGATTACTCATCAAGTAATTGTTGCAGTTACTTTTTAAAAGCACGGCAACAAAAAACAAATCCTTGAACGTCAAACGAAGTGAAGTTAGTTTAGTGGTCATTTTTGCATGTATCAGCTTTCACCCCTCATCGCATGTAGCTCGAAGTAAATGCACTTTCTACACTTTTATGTTCGAAAGCTATAGACTTGGTCACTTTCCAGAGACATTGGGAATCCATCACGAGAAAACTAGTTATAAAACAAGAGCGCTATTTAAAAGATCATTCTGGAAGAACAACTAGAGTCATTCAGAGTAAAATGATTTTAACTATAGCCAATTTTGATTCGAAAGTACTGAGTCAAAATTGGAACAATCTAGTCTTCAATACTGGAATAGAGTAACATCATTTCTTTCAATGTTTCTTTCCTCTCCTGCAACCCTCTTGTCTAACCAGATACCGATCCTCATTTTGAGCCCCCATCTGCGGACTTATTATTGAATTTGATAGATAAAGCCTTAGACAAAGAATATTCAGAGAAAATAAAGCGATCCTATATCAATTACCGAATCAGCTAAGTAATAGCAGACTAACTAATGGCAAGCGACGAGGGACCCTACACATGTAGTTAATCCATCACTTTCCCCTTATCTACAACAAAACAAACTCAACCAATGGAATCGCTATATTTTCCCTTTTCCTTCTTTAACCATAGCTTTGTCTATAGACAACGAAGACAAAAGGTATACGGAGGGATCTTATTTGAGGAAGCGGGTGGTTACAATGGACATAGGAGGTAGGTAATATGCTAGCTAACGGCACACAGTGGATCGAGTCGATCAGAGAGGTCGGACATGAAATTTTTTACTAAAACAGCAAACTTTGATGTTTATTTCGTCACATTTTAAATTTTAAGGGGTGCTTCGAGAAGAAAATCTTACGAGAAAATCAATGGACTAACTTCTAAAACCTCAACATTTTGTATAATCGGAGTTATAAGCTCTTAGAGTTTAAAAATTTTGTCCGAACTCTCCTATTGATTCGATCCACGGTGCGGCAATCCACGAGAGACCCTTTAGAAAATCCATCATTTACCCTCTTAGTCTATAAGAAACCAGTGGCGTGGCGTGGCGTGAACTGCGATATATCGACTGTCATGCCATTTAAACTGATGGATTTAAACTGGGATCGATAAACAGGGTGTTTGCAGCGAACATCTTTATAATCGATTCTTTACCATAAGTTTAAATGGCGTAACAATCGATACATCGCAATTCACGCCACACCGCTGCAAGGAACTTCCATTTGAACCAATAGGATTGCACCGCACTCCCTACGTCTTCTTTATCTATCGCTTTGTCTATCAATTCCAATGATCACCCCGCTGGACGGTGAAAATAGCGCCGGGCGAAAGGCCGGTTGATTATCATAGAAACGACTCGTTATTCACAGTATTAACAGTGATACTCTGCAATTGGACCTCGTTCGTTGACGGTTCCCTCTCCGACTCGGACACGATATACTCTTTATGTACCGCATCACCCGTCGTGGCACTACCGACGACACAATAATGGGGTTCCGGGTCGCCGTACTGCGAGTGGTAGAACTCCTCCCTCATCATGTGGTTGAGCGACCCGCAGCGGAAGTAGAGGATCTGCTGGAACGGCCGCCGGAAGTCCCGGTTGAGCGTCGCGTAGATCACCGGATTGAGTAGTGAATTTGCGTAACCCAACCATAAGAAGAGACTCGAGAGGGAAGAAGGGATGGCGGCTGGGTCGGCGAGGAAGGGCCGGACGAGCGCCAGGACGAAGAAGGGCAACCAGCAGATGGTGAAGGCGGACATGATGATGCCCAGGGTGGTGGAGGCTTTGCGCTCCTTGGCCAGTTGGAAGCGGAGCTTCTTCGTGTTGGTGATGGGGTGGCCGTTTGGAGGAGGGGGTGCGTGGGGGGCCTTGGATTTTTTGTTGGCGCCCCCGACGCGGAGTTTGCGCTTCATGTTGATGCACCCGGAGGACGACTGGCGCCGGAGCATTGGGGCCTGGGACTCGTTGGAGGCGCGGTCGCCGGTCGGGAAGCAGTGCGAGGTCGGCTTCACGGCCAGGTTGTTGTTCGCCCCGCCGCTGCACTGTAACACATAAAAAATGCACGGAGTTAGACAAAGTTAGACAAGGGCTAAGGTATCGTCACTGGTTTGTTCAAGTATGATAATATGATAAAGATAAATAACACACTGAAAAAAAGTTATGGGCTATATAGACATACCGTCCGTTTCGGACTCAGAGGCTGAGAGTTCCGGGTGCTGGAGCCGTAGCTTTGATTACTCCAGGTGCTACACCTAAAACTTTCGGCTTCTGAGCCCGGAACGCGGACGACATGTCTATATAGCCCGTAAGTATGGTTTCCACGGTCGGAGTTTTTTTCCAGAGTGGTCAAAACGGGTAGATTTGCTCATACAATGCGTTGACTGATCCCAGCCAGATTTTTAGTGCTGATTCCAAAAGTAACCTCTGTTTTTCTGGGTCAGGTCGATTTTCCTAAAATATTGGCATCTCCCCAAACATTGAGGAGAAACTTCCCCGGAGAAAATTCAATTTTCCGGAAAATTCGTACACCATGGGCCACACACATACACACAAAATATTGAGACCAGTATGGTCAAAACTCTTCAAAAAATTAGAGGTAATATACATAAAAGAGAGAAAACGCATAAAATTGTATGGAAATGTATAGTTAAAATGTAGAAGTTAGGAAACCCTTCATGTTCTTCTTTACGTAACATTTCAGTAAAATGTAAGTAAAATCAAAATAAAATTTACGTTTAAAAAATCATTAGGGTCATTCTGCATTTTTTTGGACGGAGATCCCTTTTCCCGTTGACGGGTACATTTATTCTTTTTGATTTACGATACTCAACAAGCGATGTATAAACAGCCTGGACTCCGCAAAGTTCGATAAACCGAGCGAAACATTACCCGGAAATCCCGACCGGTTTCCGGCAAAACCGGACGAGAATGAATTACAGCGAGAGCTGTCTGTAATGAGAGCCGTATCGGAAACCGAAAATCACAGGGCGCACGAACGAGAGAGGCTCCGCTCTGCATGTGAAACCGGGGCGAGTTGCGTGCGTTGCGGGTTGCGGTCTCCCGCCCGCACCGCAAAATCGCGCTTCCGGATTCCACCGCCCCCTCAAATGACCGATTACCCTTATATTGTGCTTTATGGGTCTCCTGCGCGGGTCAACCAACGCGTTTAGGTCATTGAATTTTATACGTGTTTCAGCTTAAACCCGAATGCGTTAAAACGCAAATGCACTGAAAAACAATAGTTCTGTTCACAAGGCTCCTGCACTGAAAAAAAAATCTCGGTGTATTTTACTAAGAAAAGGGTAAAATTACCTAGAATTCAGGGTTCTATTTGATCCCAGTTTTTTCTTGTTAAAATTACCATTTATGGAATTGGTAATTTTAACGAAAAATCTCAGTAAAATTATTGAACTTTCTCGGTAATTTTACTGGACCTTGGTATAAACGCCAATATTTTTTATCGATTGTGGTGGAAATACCGAGATAAAATGGCAAAGTTACCGGGAATTGATTACCAATGAAAGTGGCATTCTTACCTGAAAAAAACAGTAAAAATACCGGTTTTTAGGTAAGCTCACCAGTCTGTCTTGGTGAAATTACCAATGAGTGGTAAAAAAGTGAGATGGTGAAGGTACCAACGGACTTTGGTAAAAACGCCGAGAATTTTTTTTCAGTGTACACTTCTTTTGTAACAGTCACAGAAGCTTTCGTTACGAGGACAGAGTTCTCTGTTCCCACGAACGAAGTTCTATTCTCACAACAGAATAATTCTGTAAGTGTAACAAAGAAACTGCAGGAGCCCTGTGAACAGAAGGTTCTGTTGTCAGCATCATTTATTTTTCTCTGTGAGGGGCAGATGGGCCCGCCATAAGGGAAAGGGCAAATCCGGCCCCGGAAGGTCCCGTGCTGCCCGTGGCACACTACTTCAAATTCATATGTAGCCCTTGTCTCGTAAGGGAAAGTGAAAACTTTACCCTGAAAATTTCGCAAGAGGTGAATACATTTTCAAAAACGCGCTGGGGCACTGTAAAATTCTTCTTACTTCGATTGGATTTGTCGTTCAAACCCGACAACAGATAAAAATGTTGATAATTCTGTTACTGTGCCATTTGGAAGTTTAATAGAAAAGGACTAAGCCACATCAGCCACAAAGGAATCAGCAGTGATTGCCAAATTTAACTGGGCAAGTCAATTTTTTACGAGAGAACGTTTATGCGGATTCCTTTGAAAATTTTTAGGAATTTGCCTCGTTCTATGGAGAAAATTCACTTAAATTTGCACGAAAATCCGCATAACCGTTTTCACGTAAAAATTAATTCGCCCAATTAAATTTGACAATGGTTGATGTGGCTTGGTTCCTTTCTGTTTAACGTGATCCATTTCAACCACCCGGCAAAAATCATGATAACGAAAAAAACCATCTACAGATAAAAACAGACTGATAATAAGGAAACTAAAATAATTATGTTTCATGGTTTTCGATCGGTTCACGTTTTAGTCCTTCGATCGAATCGAAACCGGGCTTTTTGAAGGAATCGTCGATCGATTCACGTTTTTGTTTTTCGATAGATTCATGTCGATCGAATCGACACCGGTTTTTTAATAATTTGTCGATGGAATCGATGTCGATTGATTCTTGTTTTCATTTTTCGATCGACTCATGTCGATCAAATCCATACCCTCCTCGATACCATATTACGTTTCGGCAACTGCGTCCTGGAATTCGGCGAAAGACACGGATGCAAAAGAGGGTATTTTCGTGCGTGGAGCAATTACAAGCGGACGCGGAGGACACAATTTATGGTGCCCCGCCTTGAGATCACGTCGATTTTCAATACAACATCCACTTACGCCGCGAGCACTGTCCAATATATTTTCGGCGTCCCACAATCCCACATCCACATCCGATTTCAAATTCATCTCGCGGCGTGAATTTACGGCCACGAAATAGTTCCGAGTTCCTCTCTGCCCGATTTCGGAGATTACCGGTCTTAAATCGCGGTTACTAGAGTCCCTTTATACTGAGAGTCAAGACAATTTAAATCCATTTCTGATTGGTTCCCGTATTTTAGGCCTTCACAGTGTCACAAGCGGGAATAAAGATTACAGTTTCACCGATTGCAAAGATTATATTTTTGAATGGACCGGGGAATTACGGGTTCGGCAAGGAACAAACGGAATGAGGGAAGGAACGAAGAAAGGAATTCGAGAATGGGCCGATCAAAGATTACGAAAAACGTTCAATTTCTGTAATCTTTATTCCCGTTTGTGACTCTATGAAGGGTGTTGTCTTGACTCTCAGTATAAAGGGACTCTAGCGGTTACCGTTCTTCGAGAAATGGACGTGTTTCTATCAAACGGAACTATATGCATTATGACGTGAGCCCTGAGACCCATAAGAGTATATGCATAACAGGGCTCACGTCATAATGCACATAGTTCCGTTTGATAGAAATACGTCCAAATGAAAGATAGAGCGATATGGACTGAATCAGTCAGAAATAAAGCAATGATAAATCTTATCTTGAAAATAAGTTAAGAGTTGTACGAGGGGCGTTCAATAAGTAAGTATCCCCCCTCTCTAAAATCCATTAAAATGGACCAATTTTAAAAAAACTTGGGCTCAAAATCTTCCTTAGGATATTTTGAGTTCAACGAAACAAACCGCAACAAAATCGGACCATGTGCGGCCGAACGCGAGCCGTTTGAACGCGCCGAGGTGCTCGACGCTCCCGCCAAATCCGCGAGGATTTGAAGTCCGCTACAGGAGAAGAGCTTCTCTGCCAAAGCCTTAGTCGTTCATCACTGACGAAAAATCAAAGAAATTTTTGTAGAATTCGGGGCTTACCTCACTTCTCCACATAACCAGCTCGATCCAAGCAAGTCTGATACTGAGACTAAGACTAAGAGAACAGCTTTTGGATGCCTCGTGCGTGGAAGTCTTTCAGCTGACCGCGGATGAAAGAGTGGACGGCTTGTTTGACCTCTTCCACTGATTCAAAATTAACTCCTCCAAGTTCAGATTTCAGGAACGGGAATAAATGGTGGTATTTATTATCGTATCTGAAATCTGAACTCGGAGGAGTTAATTTTGAATCAGTGGAAGAGGTCAAACAAGCCGTCCACTCTTTCATCCGCGGTCAGCTGAAAGACTTCCACGCACGAGGCATCCAAAAGCTGTTCTCTTAGTCTTAGTCTCAGTATCAGACTTGCTTGGATCGAGCTGGTTATGTGGAGAAGTGAGGTAAGCCCCGAATTCTACAAAAATTTCTTTGATTTTTCGTCAGTGATGAACGACTAAGGCTTTGGCAGAGAAGCTCTTCTCCTGTAGCGGACTTCAAATCCTCGCGGATTTGGCGGGAGCGTCGAGCACCTCGGCGCGTTCAAACGGCTCGCGTTCGGCCGCACATGGTCCGATTTTGTTGCGGTTTGTTTCGTTGAACTCAAAATATCCTAAGGAAGATTTTGAGCCCAAGTTTTTTTAAAATTGGTCCATTTTAATGGATTTTAGAGAGGGGGGATACTTACTTATTGAACGCCCCTCGTAGCTTTCCCTGGGAGCCTTGGCTGTTAGAGAAAGTTTAAAAAACTCGAAAATTTCACACACACTGAAAAAAATAATATGCTGTTTTCGCACCTAGGATGTCAAAAATGTGTCTGGTGATCCCAAAATGCTGCCTTTACTGCCCTCGCAGTTAACTTCACATCCTACGAATGCAAAGTCAACTGCGTGGGCAATCAAGGTAGCATCTTAGGATGACCAGACACATTTTTGACATCCTAAGTGCCAAAACAGCATACCATTTTTTTCGGTACAATTTTTTTTTTTTTTTTTAGATCCGAGTCAGGAAACCGTTTTTGTTTTTTACGTTAAAACGCCAACTTTTCCTTCAATAAGTTTATTATCACTTTGAAAAAGTATAACGCGTAAGAAAAATCTTATACATATACATTTGCAGTTTATTTTGGGTTTAGTACCAATTCTCTTCGTAACGGGAATACATTTCTATAAACTACTGGTAATATTTATTCTATTACTGGA